AAAGTGGGTGATTACGTGCGCATTTCGCGCGAAAAACAACAATTTGAAAAAGAAGGCCATTACAACTGGAGCGAAGAAATATTTGAAATCGTAAAAGTGATACCCCACCAACAGCCTGTTTACCTCATCGCCGACATATTTCACCACGAAACTATCGAAGGGCATTTTTACGGCTGGGAGCTCAACAAGGTCAAGAAGCAAGATATTCTCGAAATCGACCACATCGTGGAAACCAAGGGGAGAGGACCGAAAAAGCAGCTCCTGGTGCACTGGCGGGGCTATCCCAAAGCTTCTCGCTCCTGGATTTTCGAGAAGGAACTCATACGCGTATAAGTTCGCCTCCGTCGCTCCTCCTCCGCTAGTCTGACGCGGACGCCCACAGCGGTAGGACCGCGCGCGGAGCCATGGCCGACTTTCACATGGTGATCCCGAGCAACGCCTCGCCGGACGTGTACCCCAACAACAAGACGTCGAACTACAAAGTGAATCTCCCTCAAAACTTTGACCTTCACGGCGATTGGCAGGTCGCGCTGCTCGAGGTGCACTACCCCAATACGCTCATGAACGTCCAGAAAGATGAAAACTGGATAAAATTGTACCAAGTGCCGCCAGACACCCCCATCCCCGCGCCACCCTTGGGGCATGCGGGCCCCGAGTACGAGCTCGACGAGCACGGCCCGGACCTGCTCAACATGTCCACCACGCTGCTGCGCTTCAAGTTGTCGCTGCGACCGGGACGGTATACTACCATTACCAACCTGACCGAACACATCGCCGACGTCCTGAAGCCGCTCGAGCAGCTCAAATCCAAACCCATCTCTGTCGGAGTGACGGACGGATATTTTTACCTCCAACCGCTGACGGAACATCCGAATTACGTCGTCTACTTTGCACCGCGCCTGGCGACGCAGCTGGGGCTCCCCTACTCGGGCCCCTACAACGCGTCTCAAACGATCATAGGCATACGTGAGATCGACATGTCTTTGGGGCGCCCTGAACAAATGTACGTCTATATGAACGTCATCGAACCCCAAATCGTCGGCCATACGACCGCACCGCTGCTAAGGACGATCCCCATGAACTCGGACGCCAAGTTTGGCAGCATGACGTGTTATCGCTGCGACACACCCATCTACCACAAGCTCGCCACCAAGTCGTTCAACGAACTGGAAATAAATATAAGGACAGACACTGGAGCTTTTGTACCATTCCTGTTTGGTACGCTGAACCTAGTGGTCCACTTCCGACAGCGTTAACGCAACCATGGCGTCCCACTATAGCCAGTACTTTATCCACCAGGCCCAAACCGGGTCTGGCATGGGCTACTACAGTGGCCTGCACAGCCAGCGCGGGCACGGCCTAGGATCCTTTCTAGGAGGACTGTTCAGAACGGTTCTGCCGCTACTCAAGACGGGCGCGCGTGTCCTGGGCAACGAGGCCCTAAAAGCAGGAGCAGGCTTCCTCGGCGACATGGCCACACACGCAGACCCGATGGACAGCTTCAAGCAGCGCGCCGCCGAGCTCGGGGGAAATTTTGTCAACAGAATGGCACAAGGAGGAAACGGTATAAAACGACTACCCGGAAGAAAAAGTGTGCAGTCGGGACGCGTTACTCGACGCAAGAACACCCCGAAGCGCGGCGCGCGGAAGAATAAAGCCGCTTTCCTTCGTGACATTTTCGGCTAATCATGTCGGTCCTACACCCCAACGTGGGCGAGGCGATGCTGAGCGAGACGGACCTGTGGGGCATGCCGCTCGCGGTACAATCCGTCAAGAAGAGCACCATCGTCTCCAGCAAACCGACAACGACTTTCGCGCAGACGAATAATATGACCTTCCACATCCCCGGAACGAGCGATTGCACTGATTCAAATGTCATGCTTCAACTCTTGGGAGAAGTCGTCAAGCCGGACGGAAGCCGATACAAAGAGGGCGAAAGCGATGTCGCCTTCGTCAACAACGCCATGCATTCCCTCCTCATGCAAATCGATGTCATGGCGGGCGACACGGTCGTCAGCCAGTCCTCTCTGACTTATCCGTATAAAGCCTACATGGAAGATTTGCTCGCTTACGACACCAACGCCAAAACCTCTCACATGACCATGAGAGGCTGGGTCAAGGACACGGCCGGCGAAATGGACGATTTCACCGGAAACGAAAACTGGGGACTCGTCAAAAGAAGAAAGATTTGCAAAAACAGCCGCGTCTTTGAATTTTTCGGCCCTCTGCACTGTGATTTTCTCTCCAATCAAGGCAAACTTCTCCTGCCCCATCTCGACTTGACCATCAAGCTGACCAGAACATCAGACTCTTTTGCACTGATGTCGACCGCACAAAACGAAAAGGTTGTCATTCGCGATGCGACCCTCTTCGTTCGCAAGGTGACCTTGTCACCCAGCATGAACATTGCGCACGCTGAAGCACTGGAGCACGCCCCCGCACGCTACCCCTTCACCAGAACGACCGTCAAGTCCATCACCATTCCGAGCGGCTTCCGGGACAAAACCATCCCAAACGTGCATCTCGGACAAGTGCCCAAGCGCATCGTTGTCGGTTTCGTCTCCAACGTCGCCTACAACGGCAGCTACCACCATAACCCGTTCAACTTCCAACACTTCAACATCAACTACCTGTGCCTCTACGTCGACTCCGATCAGGTGCCCGCCGTCCCCCTGACCCCCGACTTCACCAATGGTAACTACGCGCGCTCATACTACTCACTATTCGAGGGAACCGGAATCAAGTGGAAGGACGAGGGAAACGATATAAATTACGACGACTACGGCAAAGGTTACACACTCTTTGCGTTCGATCTGACACCCGATCAGTCTGCCCACGAGCCGCACTGGAACGTGCAGCGCCAAGGCACCGTCAGGCTGGACGTGCGCTTCAAAGTCGAACTCCCCGTCGCAGTCAACTGCATCGTTTACTCAGAGTTTGACAACCTCATCGAAATCGACAAAAACAGGAAAGTGATCGTGGATTACAACGTGTGAGCGATATGGACGGGAAACGAGCTAGAGCGATTTATGCGCCACGACCCGCACGCCGCGCAGCATTTCATCGGAGTGTTTGCAGCCGACACGCTCCCCCATAGGATCACAAAGAAACCCGCTTTTCTCATTGTAAACTCTGACCCCATTTCCAAACCGGGCACGCACTGGCTGGCCATGAGTATCGATGCGTGTGGGAAAGGATTCTACTTTGACAGTTATGGTCAAAGGCCCAACGTGCCACTGCACGAAAGATTCCTCTCTCGCGTTTGTAAATCTTGGACATATAATCATGTAGACCTGCAGGCGCTCGACTCGTCCGTGTGCGGACAATATTGTTGCATGTATCTACTCTTTAAGGCGCACGGTTTCACCATGACCGATTTTGTGAAGTGCTTTTCAAACGACTGCACGCAAAACGATGCACGCGTCGAAAAAATGTACCAACGGTACTCTAGAAATGTCAAACTATGTGACGATGTCAATGTAAAAACAATTGTACAAAAATGCTGCAAGCGATGCAAGAAATAAACATTTCATCAAATTATTAAATTTGTAGTTTTTCTTTTTTAACCTACAAGTGCTAACGACAAATAACCCCAGACGTCCAGACACCCTGCAGAAGCATTGCCGTCATTCATTCATTGATTGGGGCAAAATGTGTGCCCGCAGTGTCCCCATGACCTATTCAAATTTTCGCGGCACCACGCCCGTGCCGCACCGAGCAGCACCAGCAGGGCGAAGCAAGGAGGCGAGCGCACCGCAGGGGATGCCCCGCCACGCCACCACAGCGTCCCCACCAGGGGGAAAAAAAAAAAAAACAGAAAAAAACTGGGTCGATCTTATATTATTTAACGGCTCATTATAATTATATGACAAACCACACCCATCACAAGCACTGCATTGACTCATTTCATTCATTCATTGAATTTAAACTTTGCGCTCATTTCAAATTTTCGCGCCACCGCCCGAGCCGCGCCGAGCAGCGCCAGCCGCCCGAGCCGCACCGAGCAGCTCCAGCCGGGCGAAGCAAGGGGGCGAGCGCGCCAGCTGCCCGAGCCGAGCGCAACCAGGGACCCTGCTGGCCGTGACGAGCAGCGCCGTCCCCCGCTCCGACAGCGCCATAACACTCCGTCCCGACTCGATCCCTTCAGCGCCGAACCGGCAGTCTAGGGGTTAGGGGACCCGACTCCTAACCCAGAGGCCAGAGGTTCGAATCCACCCAGCAGCGGGACTTTTTGTTGGCTATAATCCATTCCACAAGACGAGACCCAGGGACCGCAACCGAGAGCCCTCTCCCCCCACTCCACCCACCGCAACCAGGTGCCCTAACCAGGGGCCCTATATACTACTCCTGCGCCCCGTGACACATTCGCGCACCGGTCACGTAGCGCGGGCGGGGCGGGGCGGGGCGGTGGCGAGCAGGGCGGCCACCCCAGCGGGCGGAGGAGTGCCCCCAGCAGCAGCTGGCGCCTCGCCGCGCCCTGCTTGCCTGTGTCTGGGGGGTGGTGAACGGTGAGCTGACGGCCGGAGAAATACTGAGGAGCCACGCCGAAAGTGCCTCTCAGAAATGGTTTCCCCCGTTCGAGGAAAGTCTCCGATTGGAACGTTTTTCTGCGTGTGTCGGTAAAACCCCTCTTGGAAACGCGATGGCTGCTGTTCTATCGTTGATCACTTCCGGACCGCCGTGTTCCGCATCCGTTCATATCGGGGTTTGTTTTGACGCCTCGCTCCGCCGCCTCCCGCCCTCGCGGGTTCAGCGGAGTGAGTGGGCGGGCTCCCCTCTCGGGCAGCCTCTCGGGCAGCCTCTCGGCCCCCCGCCGCCCGGGCGTGCGCGTTTCTTGAAAACTTCCGGTGGAACGAGTTGCTAAGGATCACTCGCCGCGCGGAATGCTGCCTGCTGCTGCGGGGGGTGGGGGGAGGGGGTGTCAAGAGCGACGCGTGAGGGGGAAGAGAAAGGAAGCAGTTGTCGTGTCGAGAGAGGGAGGGAGGGAGAGAGATGGCAGAGGGCGGGGAAGGGTCAGAGAGATGGGTCGGACTCGGACTAGTGTTTTCGATCATTGTGGCCTACTTGTTGGGCTCACGTCCCACCTCATGTAGCATGACTGACTTCTTACTGTCGATGTTTACGGTTGTGGGTTGGGTGCAAATTCCATATTCAGTCCAGTGAACGACTTGCAAGTGTGCAACTCCGTAGTTGTACACTTGCAAGTGCTCAACTCGGTAGGTGTGCACTTGCTTGCAAGTGTGCAAATCCTCGGTTGAACTCGGTTGTGCCTGCGTCCGCCAAGCCCGCACTCAGCTCCGTCTGCGTCGCTGGTATGGACGCGCTCGAGTCGAGAGCCAAGGGAATTTGGCGACAACGAACGGGACGCGACGCGAGAGAGAAATGCATGAAAATACAGGGGAAGGGTCGGTCAGGAATAAAAAAATAATAAAACAAAATATCCGCGCGCGACGGAACAATGATAAATTCGGCATTGCGTGGTCCGCATGCAGTCCAGCGGTCCAGCAGCCCGTGAGGCTCACGTGCTGGAATCTGCTGGAGGCGCGCCACGCCTCACCACGACACCGCACGGACCTTTCGCTGTCCCTGTCGTCCCTGTCCGACATACACGCGTCAAGTCAGGTGGAGAAAAGGGGAAGAGGGAGAGAGGGAGGGAATGCCGCGCCCAAGTGCTGAGCTGGCACTCTCACACGGAGGGAATCCGAATTTGGACTGCTTTGCTACTGCTGCGCCCTTGTGTTATGCAGGGGCATACTGCGAAGGAGAGCACGCGGTGCGAATGAAGGTTCCCCGAGGTTCCCTTTACACCTCCTTTTATTTGGTGTCTGCTCCAAAGTTTCAACTTGCTGCTTTGGCTGTCGCACGAGGCCGAGTTGTGCGTTTGTAAATTTTTGCGTCATTTTCATCGCCAAGAAGAAAAATAATGAAAAAAATGTCAACCAAGAATCTATAATCCCCTTCCCAAGAATAGAGCCGTGAAAAGCAGGTGATACACATTTGAAAGCAAAGCTATGTTCTGATTTTCCCCCACTCATGATCGTCTTTTGATGCCTTTCTAATTTTATTTTCTAATTGTTCGATATCTTCCGTGAAAAATTTACCTGTACCCGGTATGACATTTTTTCACACTGAGCCTTAGGGGGCCTGTATTAAGGTATCATCTGCTAAAGAGCGTTGGGGAGATGTTTGTTCGGACTTATCACATGAAGGAGGGGGGGGGGCAGGGGGGGGCAAAGGGAAACAAATTAGTATCGGACGGAGGACCGTGTGGGTCGTTTCTTTGTGTGAATGTTCGGAATCTGGTCGCAGTCGGGGTGGGAAGGGGTAGGTTTCGGGGAAAGGGGACGATGGTTTGGCGTCGACTCTCCACGCCGCACCGCCCTACCCCGCTGGGATGTCCACCCGGGCTTCGCCCCCCAAGGGAGAGCCCCTTTGGGGGAGGGGGAGAGGGGGCAGCAGAGAGGGGGTGCGGTCGGCTGGTGGGTGGGGCGGCTGTCTCCCACCAAGACGTGCTCAGAAAGCGAGACTCGACCGTGGAAAATAGAAAGTACTTCTACCTTGAAACTGTCTCGCCTCACGGAGCTGGAGCTGCTGGTTGGTACTTGTGAGGTGGGCAGGCGCCGGTCGCCTTATACGGCCTTAGGGCTTACGCCCGCCCTAAGGGGCGACAGGGACCCGTATTGAATCCGTGCGGTGCGCGGGCACTGGGCACCTCGCACCCGAGTGGCGCCTCTCTTAAAGGGAAGATTGACGTTCTTGTTTTTGTAAAGTAACAGTAGCTTGTCAGCTGGTCCATACTTGCCATCTGTCTAGGTGCGTGTAAACGTTGTTTTTAGACATGAAATAAATTACCGACCTCGCCTTTTGCCGTGGTGAGACTCTTTGGTCGTGTTCAAATACCGCCAGTTACTTTGGCGTGAAGCCCGCAGGTTTGTGTGCCGTTCCTCTTTCCATTATGATTAAATGTCGTTTGTTTGCGTTGCCGGACCCGGCCCGCCTCCCGCGCGGCCTGACGACCGCCGATAAAGCGGCCGCGGGGTTAGTTTGCTTTGCACGTTCCGGGGAACTAATAGACCACATAAAACTATTAAACACTTCTCCCCCGCTCACCTTGCGTGGGTGGGTGGGGTGTTAAAGGGCCCCGCCCCGCCACTACCGCCTGCGCTGGCGGACGGGCCTCGGCGGGGTAGCTTCCTCCTAACGGCCCTGCTCATGCTCATCGCGATCGTCACCTCCCGGGGTCGTGATCTCCCCCGTTCTGCCTCTTACTCCCA